ATTGGCAAGCCGGCAAAAATAAAATAAAAACTTGGTTGAACTAGGAACAGAGGCTTTTTGGCTATAAGTATAAAAATCTGTTTGAAATTTAAGGAATTTTCTTATACTAAAAACAATACAAAAGCCGAAACCCCTTTAGTAAAATTAAAGTAATATTAGAAATCCTTTAAGAATCTAAATAAAATCAACTTACACTGACCAAAACAGTTTCCAGGAAGCACTTGGCCTTGTGGTGGTAATATTCGCATAGTTCCAGGTTCTTTACATATTTTTTAAATAATTTTTTAAGTAGTTCCTTGAAACCCCTTTTAGATATCACAAACACAAAGCACACTCACACCATCGCCAATCGAAAGCAGCAAATGCCATGTGCGCCTGGCGGTATGCAATAGTTTCTGTTCCTGTTTCTCTTTCGTTTCGTTTCGCTATTATCCGTGTTAGCCGAGTCTATGAGTGTGTGTGTGTGCGTTTTAGCCGACAAAGTGCAACACACAGCGCAATGACCGACGTACTCGAACGTTGACTCGTTTCTGTCCTGCGACAACTTTTCTCGCTCCTCGCCGATGGGAATAATGATCTCGACGTAATGACGATTTTCAGCAGCCAGTAAGCTTGTTGATGCTGTCCTGGTCCCGATGACGTCGTGCCTCTCTCTCTCTGTTACCCTCGTTCTCCCTTTCTCTCTCTCTCTCGGCCATTTTGCGGAAGCTTCAACTCACCGCAAACGGCTCCAAAATGAGCAGCCAAATTGCGAGTTCCTTCCTTAATTGCGCACTCGTATCGTTTGTATTTTTCCTACTTTTCTCTTTCGTATAACACATTTCTCTTATACTTCGGTTTATGGCACGCATTTCCCCAGTGACGTCACAAGGCTTTCACAACGCTTTTCCCCTAGCAGAATCAGATAGAGAATCAGTTGTTGTTTTGGCTGCACAAGCCGGCAATGTAAACAAAACATAAAATATATGAATGGGTGAGTGAGTTGTGCGGGTGTTTGGTTGTTCTGGTGTTTTGGCCGTTTGGCTGTTCGGATGGCTGGGTGTTTTGGGTGGCAATTGGGAGAAGCCGATGCACTGGTGTTGGTGCAAATTCGGCAATGCGTGTGCGCTGCGCCTGATGAATGAAAATTTCGACTGGCTGAAGGGGAAAAGCGGGAAAAACATCTGAGCGGCAGCTAAACGGTCATATGTTTCGAATTATGGCTGTTGAAAATGAAAACTGCAATAGAAATTAAGTAAAAAATGTAAGATTCTAGTTATTAAAAGCCTGGGAAGTAAAAAAACAACTAAGTAATAAATTTAAGTTAAAGTAACATACCAATATTTTTAACAGTAGGATGTCAATAGACCCTCCTTAATTACAAATATTACAAATTTAATAAATAATAAAGAAAATTTTGCCAGCCAAAATTTGATAAAAAAAATTTTTTTTTTTTTAATAAATAATAGGATTAATATTTACAATTGTTGCTGCGATTTTTAGATTTCTGTAAAAGTTGTTTTTAAAAATGTTATTATTGATTTTTATTAAACTTTTGCCTGGAACATTTTACTTCTTGGTATATAAATTAAATATTGTGTAATTTTAATTGCATTAAAAATCGGAAAATAAAAAAAAATTTTAGACTTATTACCAGCAGCCGCCGTATTTTGTCAATCAATCTGAACACCAGGCCAACTTTGGGTGATCTCTGAAATCTTGCTTTGAAAAGCACTAAGAATGGCCTATCAAATTCAGCATTGCAGGCAAAAAATTGAAAAAAAAACATTGACAGGTCGTGTCAGAAAGCACACGAAAATCGAGTGAGCCCCGAGCAGTCTCAGTCGCAGTCGCAATCGCATTTTAATTTGAATTCTTTCTGGTAACGCTCTAACAAAAGCCCCCATGCGATGTGCACGACCAAAAAATGAACTTAAGTTTCGGCCAAGAATCTTGTTGAAGAATTTCTATTTGAGCATTTGTCATGTCTTCGCCTTAGTCTATAAAATATATTGTTGGTAGATGGGATAGGGGAAAGGGACGAAGGGGGCGGGGCACGCGGGGTGTGTGCAAATATGCGAAAGCTAAATGTCAGAGTCAACCCTTTCGAGCCATTCTACCAGCCTTTTTTTGAATCCCTCCTCCCCTTTCCCCTCAGCTGACTGGTGTTGTTGCCGCTTTGGCCCCCTTTTCGGGTGGAAAGGAAAGTTTTTATCTTAAGCTGCGCTGACAGGCAGCAAAGCGGCAAGCGAAGCAACACAAGTACACGCCGGACAAAGGAGCCAAGGGGGTGGCGAAACGGAAAATGGAAAATGGTGAGGGGTGGGAAGGAAAAGGGGAGGGAGAAGGGAAAGGGGTACGTGGCAAACGTCAAGTTATAGAAAATGCTTGGGCCTGCACAATGAGAAAAATGTCACCAAAATTGCTAATCAATTGGGTGTTTCCAAGGAGGCAGGAGATAATTCTAAGGACAAAGACAAATGTTCGATTTCAAACCCTTCAAACAGGAAAAACCTCATATTTAAAAAAGTATTTTAATTTTATATTTAATTTTGGAATCAATTAAAAGTTGTTAGTAAAAGATTTGGTAAATCTACCAAATTATATTATAAAATTGTATAAAAAGTCTTAAGGCATAAAAAAATACTATTATATTAAATACTAAACTAAAAAAAAAGGAATTTGAAATTTTTTTTTTTTGGCTTATGAGTTTTATTAGTTTTATATTTACAAAGAAAATTCAATTTTAAAACGACATTTATTAGCTTTCGATGATCTGGAATTGTTTAACATTTTATTAAAATGAATAAAATTTTTTCTCAGCGTCCAGAAAAAGGGGAATAGAACTGGTCTTAGGGGGAGAAAAAATTAAAGGACAAGCTGAACGCATTCCTTGGGACACGGAATGACAGTGAGTGATTTGACCATACCCTCATTTGCGTGCAGCAAGGACCAAAGACCGGAGCTAAGCCCCAAGAACTGAGAACTGAGAAGCGAGATCCGAGTTCTGGGTTCTGTGTTCCGAGATCCAGGCACCAATGGATTAATGTGCAAGGATGCGACTCGTCAGGCAGGCCAAGAAAATTACGTCAAGCTACGCAATGGGCCCGGTTTTTCCTCCGTTCCCTTTCCATTCCCAATCCAAACCATTTTATTCTTGGAAATCTGATGATGAGCGCCGACTGCTGCGGGCGGGCGACTCCAGTGGGAGTGGCTCATTTACGCGCTGCACTCGAGTTTCAACTCGGCACGACGACGACGAAGGAAAAGCGGAAAAGCGAGGGGCTGCGAGAACTTTTCCAAGCTATTTCTGCGCCCAAATGACAGCGAAATGTAATAATGAAAAACTTTTTCTTTGTCAACTTGATGAGTATGAAATTTTTCACAAAAAAAAAGAAGGAGAAGTAAAAAAAGATTAAATAAAATAGAAGAAAGGAAAGGGTTGGCGGTGCGGCGAGCTAGAAATATGAAACGTCAGGACTGGTCCTTGGTTAGCCTTCGAGAGATTAGTTATGGCAAAGGAATTTCCAAGCGAAGGCGCACGCAAATGATTGCATGCCGCATTACGCATACGCCCGGTTGTGCGTGGAGTGAAGTGGCCTGGCGTAGCGTGTTTTAAAATTGAATTTTAATATACAGCAGACACAAAGAGATGTATGTCCAGTACCAGGCCATCCTATAAGCCATTCTACCACTCTACCACCCCGAAAAAAACACATGTTCTGCATTTTTACTTTGTTCTGGAGTCCTGCAGGACCCTGTATCATCCAACCCACCGTTTTGCTGCACCGCATCGAGGATTGCGGAATTCATAAGCTATGTGCGTTTGCTACAGAAGTGGAATTTTCGCCACGGCAAAGGATACCCGCCACCAGGTTCCTGGTTCCTGGTTCCAGGGATCCCCGGCATGCCATTAACCCACTCGCAAAAAGCGCAAAATCGCTTAAATTATTGTTACAAGCTGCCACTGCCAAGTGGCAAGAGCAACAACAGGAGGCAGAAGGCAGAAAGCAGAGGGCAAAGGGCAAACCGCCTGAGCTTTTGGCCGCGCTTTGCTTTGAGTGCCAGTTAGCATAACTCCGCCGGCCGCAGGCGAATATGTCTGCTGTTGTTGCTTTTGCCTTTGCCTTTGCTTCTATATAGTATAGTATACTCCTGATGTTGCTGCCGGTGCTGTGGGTGCTGCTCTTGATTTTCGCCGTTGCCGTTAGAAATATTTCCAGCCAGGCAAAGGACATCCTCTCACCTGCCCGTTCTCACCTGCCTGCCAAGCTGCCAACTTCTAACGGTAGCATACAGCCAGCTAAAAGTGTTTTTGGTGGCGAAAATCAGGTGGGAAAAATAAAAAAAAATAATACTAAAACAAATCGCAAAACAACAAATATAAAATTGGTATATACATAGCCATAATAAAATATAAACACAATATAAAAAGTTTTTCCTTTATAAAAACAGTTCTAATTTAAGCTATATTAAACAAATATATCATCAAAGAGTTTTTAGGTAATTAATTAATTTTGAGTTTTGCAAAAAGTTGGCAATCATGCAGGATGATTATATACTTAGTAAATGCTAATTAATTAGAATTAGCATGAGAAATGCAAATTGACAAATGCTAATTAATTATGAAATAATGTGCAACATATTTTTTCATACTTTATTAAAATAATAAAAAAAAGTACAACCATTTCTTATCCTTCTTTAAATGCAAATTAACTGATACTAATAACATTTACTTATTTGTAATTAATATTATTTCTTTCTCTGTAATGTTTTATCTACGTTATTAGATAAGCAATCAAATGGAATAACAATGGTCAAACAAATAGATTAACTGGCAATTCACTGTGAAATTCCCACGATACCTGTAATTACAGTCAACCATTAAGTACTCCTCTTTCACACTCTCTAAATTTAGAACATCAAGAGCGCTAGGAAAAATGAACGACAGGGATAGCCCAAAGAAATCTTATCTCGCTCTTTAAACAGTGGCGATGGCAGCCGGTAAAAGACAGTAATCCTATCTATCAACCAAGCATTTATTGTAAACAAAATATATATCTATAAGGAACTTATTGCACAACTAGGTGCAATGAATTAAGTGCGATTTACTGATCGACATCGATGAACTTGAAGGGAAAGTCAATGGCCGGTTCCATCACAAACATCGTTTTGAAGGGTCTGCTGGCATCACGATGGAACTCCACATGGAAATTGCGAATCAACTTGGCCACCGTGGTCTCCATTTCCAGGTCCACCACTCGCTTGCCAATACACATGCGGGGTCCAAAGCCGAAGGGCAGGAAGGTAAACGGGCTGACCTGCATCTTCTTTCCCGTCTCCGGATCGCGAAGCCAGCGTTCTGGTAGAAATTCATCTGGTCGCGGATAGAAGGTACTGTCCTTCATGAGGACATTGGAACCCACAAGGACAGTTGTTCCCTTGGGCACCGTGTAACCCGAAAGCGTCACATCATTTTGGCATGTCCTCATGGTTCCCAGACCATTGGGATAGTAACGCAGGGTCTCCTTGATCACTGCCCTCAAATAAGGCATATCCTTCATGGTATCCTCGTTGAGCAGGGTGTCCTTGGTGGGCATGATCCTCAGGAGTTCCTCTCGCAGTTTCAGCTGCTTATCCGGATGTTTTGAGAGACAGAGGAGAACGGCGGAAAGAAGCGTGGAAGTGGCATCCACACCGGCAAAGAGGATGTCTAAGCCCATTATCACAGCCACCTTTGGATCGATCGCCATCAACCTCTCCAGCATACTGTTGCTATTGATTTTTTCACCCGCCGCGCGACGCTTTTCCAGCGCCTCCTGGTTTTCCCTCAGCATTTTCATTGCCACATCCAAACTGGCGTTTAGTGTTCTCTTCATTTTTCTGTAGGTGGGCGTTGAAATCACTTTCCACATGGAGGGCTGGAAGTCGAGCTCAAAAGTCAACCGAAAGATATCCCTGGTGGTCTGGAAGAGAGTCATTGCATCGGGATTATCGCGATTATTCCTGATCAAACCCAATTGCCGATCGAAGGAAACAAGGGCTAGTGATTCGAAAATCATTCGACTTATTTCATCCGTGAAATTATCTGGAACTTCCAGGGTTTTGGGATCGCGAATCTCCTTAATTCTGTTGATAAAACGATTAGTCCATGATTTCATTTTAAGATCGTATAACTTACCTTTCGATAAACTCATTGTTAATATTGGACAGGGGTTCGTAGTACATTCGGAGGCCCCTTGGCTGCATGAATATGGGATTTAGGGCTGAACGCAGTTTGCCCCAAGTCTCGTTTTGTCTGTATAATTAAGTATTAATTAACTGGGGATTATAATCTACAAATCTCTTCAACTTACGCAGCCACCAGACCCTGAACTTCCCCATAGACATCGGGTCTAACATGTTGGCGGAAGTATACAATCGAATCCAGACCCTCGCGATGTGGCCAAATACCCTCGTTGCGGAAAACCGTTTCTATGTCTTTGGTGCTAAAAGTGGTAACCCAATCCTTGCGGCCAAACATTCCAGGCATAATAAAAATATCTCCATAACGCTTTCGCATTATAGAAGTATATTCCGTAACCGATGCATCTTGAAACTCGCCTCCGGGCATAAAAGCCCTCATGAATTTGAATGTGTTGGGTCGTGGGATCTCATTGTACGGCCTGGATTCCTCAGTAATCTAGAGTTAGGATCATTAATTCCTCAGTTTCCACTGCTGTTTCCATATATGTACTTACATTGTTATTTACCTGAGCTTGTGCCAATGCGGAGGTTGATCTCAGAGATCGAACGGGGCCTCCGAAAATAGCCACAGATCGCGCACTGTTCAAACTAATCATTCTCGTTCTTAACTAGTACTGAAAACCTGTCCACTTTGCACTGCGTTCTTATAGCCAAGTCTTATCGCAAAAACGTAGAAACAGAGAATAGAGGAGAGATAGAGAAATAACAGAAAAAGCTACACAAAGTAAAGCTTTCAAACCAAAACAAAACCGAGCAAACAAAGCATGAGTTTCAGTTTCTTATCAAATAAACGGTGTATCACCGTGAATTGCTTAGCCCACTCAGCACAAATTATAAACAACGGAGGCGTGAGAGTTGCAAAAACCGGTTTATCTATAACAAATAGTGTAATGGGACTTCTAATACCCATTAAAAATATTCTAAATATTTTAAAACCACAGAGAAGTCTCAGTTAAAATATTTGAACTCATTTAAAAATAAAATGTTATTACCAGATTTATGAAACAAATTTTTGTTAGTTTTATAAATTTAAAAAAGAAATGATTACATGTTCATACAATTTTTTAATACTTAAACTGACTGCTTGGCCTTTTAAACTGACAGAAACTAAATATTTTATCATAACAAACACTGATAGACATTCAATTTCTAAAACAATTTTTCTAAACACACACAAGTTTAGTGGGAAATGGGAAGCCGAAAAGGTGGAAAGAAATGGCCTCATTGATTTCCTGTTCAATTTTCAATTTTACGCCAATTTTCCAAAATTAGCCGCTAATTAAATTTGCATTTTGCAATTGCTCAAATTGGCCAAATCGTCCAACACAGTCGATGGTCCACACCTGACCAAAACAACCCACCACTCCACCGTGCACCCATTACCGCTAAAACATCACGGGGCTCGTTTAACTGTTGTTCGGCTTTTGGTTTTGGCTCTCGCAATTAAATAGCAATTTTAAGAGAGAGGTATTCCCCCTAGAGATAACAGCAGTCGCGTGCTGCAGATATCAAACTCGTGCCCCTTGAAACCAATCTAATCTAATGGGAAAATCTTTCAGTGCTCAGAATACGATTATATATTTATAATATTTTACATTAAAGTGTATCAATTTCACAGCCATTTAATGCTCGATATCGGTGAACTTAAAGCGGAACGGGATGGCCGGTTCCATGAGGAAGGAAGTCTTGTAGGGACAACTGGCATCGTAGTTGAATTCCACCTGGAAGTTCCTTATCAACTTGGCCACACTCGTCTCTATTTCCAGGTCCACCAATCGTTTGCCTATGCACATGCGAGGTCCAATGCCGAATGGCAGGAAGGTGAAGGGATTGATGGGGGTCTTCTTTCCCGTCTCGGGATCTCTTAACCAGCGTTCTGGCAGGAACTTCTCAGCTTCCGGATAATAGTTCTTGTCGCGCATTAGGAGATTCGAAGCCATAACCAAGTTAGTGCCCTTTGGCACATTGTAACCGGAAAGAGTAACGTCTGTGGGACAAATGCGTAGGTTGCCCAATCCATTGGGATAGTAGCGCAGGGCTTCCTTGATCACTGCCCTCAAGTAAGGCATATCCTTCATGGTCTCCTCATTGAGCAGCGTGTCCTTGGTGGGCATAATCTTCAGCAGTTCCTCCCGCAGCTTCCCCTGCTTCTCTGGATTCTTGGCCAGGCAAAGGAGCACAGCTGACAAGAGGTTAGATGAAGCATCGACTCCGGCAAACAGGATGTCCAGGCTCATGACAACCGCCAACTTTGGATCCACATCCATCATTCGCTGCAACATACTGTTGCTATTGACCTCTTCTCCCGCCTGGCGTCTCTTTTCCAGCAGCTCCTGGGATTCCTTCAGCAAATTCTGCGCAGCCACCAAGGACTCGTCGAGAACGCTGATCATTTTCTTAAACGCCGGCGTTTGAATATACCGCCACATCGATGGTTTCACATCCAAATCAAAGACATATTTGAGCACTCTTCGGACCATATTGAAAAGAACAAGAGCATCAGGATGGTCGCGATTCTTTCTGATCATCCCCATTTGGCGATCGAAGGCCACCAACGCCAGTGAGTCGAAAATCAGTCGTCTCATTTCGTCAATAAAGTCATCGGGGACTTCCAGGGTCTTGGCATCTCGTATTTCCTTAATTCTAAAGGTTAAAAGTCAGAAGAATATATACGAAATACTCGTAAAATTTCTTACCGCTCAATAAATTCATTGTTGATGTTGGAAAGTGGTTCGTAATAGACTTTCAAGCCCTTGGGTTGCATGAAAATAGGATTGAGAGCTGATCGAGTTTTACCCCAAGCCTCCGCTTGCCTGAAAATTTAATATAAATAATTAAATATATTTTCATTCGAATATTTTTTCAAAAACTTACGAGGCCACCAGACCGGGATGTGTTCCATAAACATCAGGCCTCACCTTAGTGCGGTAGTATTGAAACGAAGCAAACATCTCTCTTTCCGGCCAGATTCCTTCATTGCGAAATACCAACTCGATATCCTTGGTACTAAATGTGGTAACCCAATCCTTGCGTCCAAACATTCCGGGCATTATGAAGATGTCGCCATAACGATTTCTCATCGCTGATGCATAGACCACTATGGAGGCATCGTGAAACTCGCCGCCCGGCATAAAAGATCTAATGAACTCTATTTTTCCGGGACGTGGAATCTCTTTATAGGGTCGAACTTGTGCAGTTGCATTATCTTTTACCTAAGGAAATTATTCAATTAATTTACTTCATTCTGGTAAAACAAGTTCTAGACTCACACTTGAAACCGCCACCTGTGCTGGACAAGAAGCTGCCCTTACAGACTGAATCGAACCACCTGTAATGGCCACCCGCTGTGCTGTCTGCAAAATATTCATATTTACTTCGATCAACTGACTGTAGAATCGAACAACTGACCTATGAAAACAGTCGCCAGCTTATATAGTTCATTCTTATCTCAAGAGAGTGTAAACAAGGGAATCGATAAACCAAGCAGTACTAAAAATAATTCGCCACTCTCTACAACTCGCAATCGAACATGTCTTGCAGTTTTCCAGTCTAAATTCGTAGCTATCTTTGTGATTTGAATTGCACGACCCATTATCATGATAAGTCCTTTATTAACCTAGTCAAAAAATGTATGATGAAATTTTTGATAATGTTTGTCTATGCAGTTTTCCACAGAGTTCAACGTTCGACAAGATTTTTAATTGGTTTTTAATAAAGAGATAACAGTAGTCGCGTGCTAACTAAATAACGATATTTAGGTACAATATTTCACAATAATAAGTATAGATTTCACATCCATTTAATGATCGATATCGGTGACCTTAAAGCGGAAAGGAATGGCCGGTTCCATTAGGATGGTACTCTTGAAGGGGCGACTGGCATCGTAGTTAAATTCCAGATTGAAGTTCCTTATTAACTTGGCCACACTCGTCTCGATTTCCAGGTCCACCAATCGTTTGCCAATACAAATGCGAGGTCCAAAGCCGAATGGCAAGAAGCTGAAGGCATTGAAGGGGGTCTTCTTTCCCGTCTCGGGATCCCTTAGCCAGCGTTCGGGCAGGAACTTCTCAGCTTCCGGATAGTAGCTGTTATCCTGCAACAGGACATTCGATCCGAGAATGACATTGCTGCCCTTTGGCACTTTGAAACCGGATAGAGTGACGTCGGTGGGACAAACGCGAAAGTTTCCCAATCCATTGGGATAGTAGCGCAGGGCTTCTTTAATCACTGCTCTCAAATAGGGCATATCCTTCATGGTCTCCTCGTTGAGAGGCGAATCCTTGGTGGGCATAATCTTCAGCAGTTCCTCCCGCAGCTTTCCCTGCTTCTCTGGATTCTTCGCCAGACAAAGGAGTACAGACGACAAAAGATTGGAGGTGGTATCGACTCCGGCAAACAAGGTGTCCAAGCTCATGACCGTCGCCAGTTTGGGATCCACCTTCATCATCCGCTGCAACATGCTGTTGCTATTTATCTGTTCGCCTGCCTGGCGACGTTTCTCCAAGTCGTCCTGGGTTTCCTTCAGCAACCTCTGCGTCACCTCCAAACTCTCGTCGAGCAGTCGCATCATTTTCCTAAATGTTGGCGTCGAAATGTATTTCCACATCGACGGTTGGAAATCCACCTTGAAGATGCATTTGAGAGCTTCTTTGGTTACATCGAACAGTCTCAGGGCATCGGGATTATTTCGATTCCGACTGATCAGACCCATTTGGCGATCGAAGGCCACCAAACCAAGGGAATCGAAAATCAGTCGGTTTATTTCCTCCACAAAGTTATCGGGAACTTCTAGGGTCTTGGCATCTCGAATTTCTTTGATTCTGGAAGAGGTTAGTCCAAGTTAGGATCATAAATAATGAATATATTTATATTTTATATCTCACCGCTCAATAAACTCATTGTTGATGTCAGAAAGTGGTTCGTAATAGACTCTCAAGCCCTTGGGTTGCATGAAAATTGGATTGAGGGCCGATCGCATTTTACCCCAAGCCTCCGCTTGCCTGAAAATTGAAAAATGTGTTGATGGAATTGCAAAGAGTTATGTTTTACAACTTACGCGGACACTATTCCCACATTTCCCCCATAGAAATCTTTTCTTAGGTGAGTCCGGTAATATGTCATCGAAGGGAAGACGTCTCGCTGGGGCCAGGCTCCCTCATTGCGGAAAACCATCTCCATGTCTTTGGTACTGAAAGTTGTGACCATATCCTGGCGACCAAACATTCCAGGCATTATAAATATATCACCATAACGATTTCTCATCGCCACTGCATAGTCCACTATGGACACATCGTGAAATTCTCCGCCAGGCAAAAAAGCCCTGAAGAACTCAAATTTACTGGGGCGTGGTATCTCCTTATACGGTCGAGCTTCAACAACGGCATCATCGGTGACCTAAGGAAAAGGTTTTCATTAGTTAATTTTTATATTAAATTAAAGTAATATCATTTCTACTCACTTTGGCTAAAACTTGAGCCTGGTCAGAAGCTGCCCTTAGTGTTAATCCATTAATCGATCCATTCAAAAACAAAATTCGCTGTGCACTTTGAAAAATTCTCATTATTAATATGTATATTTCACTGCTTCCACAATTTAGCAACTGACTTGTAAAGACTGCCAGCAAACTTTATATAGCTACCCTTATCTTTTGAGAGAAGAAACCCACCAGAGTAAAAGCAATGCGAATCTAAAAAGCAAAACAAAATAAAAAAATAAGTATCACCTCAAAATTCACAAGCCAGCATGACTCGTTAGAATTGTGTCCGCTCACCGTGATAAAAACCGAAAATATAGCGGTCAAAACCAGAAAAACGTTCTTTTGTTAAATCCTTCGATACCCTACGCAATAAGCATTTTTTTTATATTATTCCATGAAAAGCTTTTTAACATAACACGTCCCCTTACAAATATATTAAAAAGCTTCACATATTATTATTATAAGCGATGTACCTGGTCACAAAATGTATGATGAAATTTCTTATAATGTTTGTCTATGCAGTTTTTCAAAGGGGTAAACGTTCGATAAGATGTTTCGGGGGTTCCCATAATAGTCGCGTGCCTGCGGCTTCTTAAGAAAACCTTGTCATTATTAATAAGCATATTTATTAACAATATTTAACATATTTATCCAAGTATTTAATGCTCGATATCGGTGAACTTAAAGCGGAATGGGATGGCGGGTTCCATAAAGAAGAAAGTCTTGAACGGGCGACTGGCGTCGTAGTTGAATTCCACCTGGAAATTCCTTATCAACTTGGCCACACTCGTTTCGATTTCCAGGTCCACCAATCTTTTGCCAATACACATGCGAGGTCCAAAGCCGAATGGCAAGAAGCTGAAGGCATTGAAAGGGGTCTTCTTTCCCGTCTCGGGATCCCTGAGCCAGCGTTCTGGAAGGAACTTCTCAGCTTCCGAGTACAAGCTGTTATCCTGCAACAGGGCATTGGATCCGAGAACGACGATACTGCCCTTGGGCACATTGTAGCCTGAGAGGGTTACGTCTGTGGGACACACACGAAAGTTTCCCAATCCATTGGGATAGGTGCGCAGGGCTTCCTTGATCACTGCCCTTAGGTAAGGCATATCCTTCATGGTCTCCTCATTGAGAGGTGAGTCCTTGGTGGGCATAATGTTCAGCAGCTCCTCCCGCAACTTCCCCTGCTTCTCTGGATTTTTGGCCAGACAAAGGAGCACCGCTGACAGGAGATTAGAGGTGGCATCGACACCGGCGAACATGGTGTCCAAGCTCATGATCGTCGCCAGTTTGGGATCCACTTTCATCATCCGCTGCAGCATGCTGTTGCTATTTATCTCTTCGCCTGCCTGACGCCGTTTCTCCAAGGTGTCCTGGGTTTCCTTCAGCAATCTCTGGGCCACTTCCAAACTCTCGTCGAGAACACTCATCATTTTCCTAAATGTTGGAGTGGATATGTATTTCCACATCGAGGGTTGGAAGTCTAACTTAAAAGTGTATCGGAAGGCCAATTTGATTAATTCGAACAATCTCAAGGCATCGTGATTATTGATCCCACTTGTCAGACCCATTTGGCGATCGAAGGCCACCAAGCCAAGGGAATCGAAAATCAGTCGGCTTACTTCCTCTGCAAAGTTATCAGGTACTTCAAGGGTTTTAGCATCTCGTATTTCTTTGATACTGGAAAGTGTTAAAAGTCAGGTGGTTTTGGGGCTGTACTGTTTGTGCTTATCCTACCGCTCTATAAACAGGTCATTGATGTTGGAAAGTGGTTCGTAATAGACTTTCAAGCCCTTAGGTTGCATGAAAATGGGATTTAGGGCAGTCCGTAGTTTACTCCAAGCCTCCGCTTGCCTTGACATGTAAAAAAGACGTTAATGGTATTTTTAAAAGTTATATTTTAAAACTTACGAGTTCACTATTCCCAGATTTCCTTCATAAAAATCTTTTCTTATGTGAGTCCGGTAATATGTTATCGAAGGAAATACGTCTCGTTGTGGCCAGGCTCCCTCATTGCGGAAAACCATCTCTATATCTTTGGTACTGAAACTGGCGATCAGGTCCTGGCGACCGAACATTCCGGGCATTATGAATAAATCACCATAACGATTTCTCATCGTCGTTGAATAATCCACAATGGACACACCGTGAAATTCTCCGCCAGGCAAAAATGCCCTTACGAACTCGAATTTACTGGGACGTGGTATCTCCTTATAAGGTCGAGCTTCAGTGGCGGCATCATCGGTTACCTAAAGTAAAGGTTTATATTAACTATACATTTTTTAATTACGTACAATTTTTACTCACACTTCCAAAAACCTGAGCCTGGCTAGAAGCTGCCCTCACGAAGTTAATCGATCCATTCGACAAAACCAGACGATGTGCACTTTGAAAAATTCTCATTATTAATATTTTCCACTGCTAAAACAATTCAACAACTGACTTGTAAAGACTGCCAGCAAAGCTTATATAGCCTACCCTTATCTCTTGAGAGGAGAAAACCTCCCGAGAGTAAAAGCAAAGCGAATCTATAAAGCAAAACAGAATAAAAAACTACTATCACCTGAAAATTCTCAACCCAGCATGACTCGTGAAAAATTGTTACCATTCACCATGATAGAAACCGAAAATATAACGCTGAGTGCCAGAAAAATTTGTTGGGGTAACTCGTTTGGATAATTAAATTTTAATGGTTTGCTGAAAAAAATGACATTTTCAAAAATAAAAATTTAAAATATTTATAAAAATTTAAATAAATTATTATATATATTTATTATATTTTAATTATATTTTTTTATGGAGTATAAAATCATAATTAAATAGAATGGTACAAAGACTTTAAAAATATACGTGTTAGCTTATTTATCTTGAACATTAAATTAATCATTTACTTCTTTTTCCTTGAAAATAACACAGGTTTATCTTGCATTACTTAAGACTTTAATCTTTAATATCTATGTAATAAGAAGAGAAATGAAACTCTTGAGTTCCCAAGACTTGGCCAAGAAGTGCTGTGCTCTGCTGTGGTCCCCCAAAACAAATTACGCCAGCCAAATGCAATCCAAGAAGAGGCTGTAAATCTTGGCGGCATTGTTGTACTATATCTGCCTCGGATCCCCGGTTGCCCGGATCCCCTGATCCTGGATCCTGGTTGCAGGAATCCTTTAGTACCGTGCCTCTCCCATGTGCATAATCAGTGCACTCAGGCATTGCACAAAAGGCGGAGCGGAGAACAGAACCCAGTTATGTTCAAGTGTCACCAAGGCTGGCCGCAACTGTCGGCAATAACAAACCCAGTGTCGAGTGGAATGGAGAGGGGATGGGGGGGAATCCCATGACTCCCATTTTCCTGCTCTGCTCCTGACGCAAGGAGACGTGTTCCTGCGGCTCCATTTTGTACCTGCTCCCGACATACATGGCAGCCATCTCCTGGCCTCCATTTCACCCCTTTCATTGGTCCTGAGTGCGTGTGGTCTCCGGTTGCAGTTGGAGTATGGAATAGGGAGTAGGGAGCATGGAGTTGCCGTTGCAGTTGCTCACTTTTGCCCATTCCCATTTTAACCATCCACATGGCCTAAACCAGCTGCCAAATGGCATCTGCCGCCTGACACATCTCCTGAATCCATTGCTGAATTCAGACTTTGGCTTCTTCAGTTCCAGTTCCTTCTTCTTCCTCGTGCTCTCATCCCCTTCCCTTTGTTTCACTCGCCGGTGAAAGGTTTTTAAATTTCGACTGGAGCACCCTTGAAGCTGCCTTTGGCAAGTGGCACAACATCCTGCCACACACGGCGCCCACTGCCACTCCCACTTAACTGCTGGAATTTCTCACGTGTGCCGAGCATCTTTTGAAGACCGGGCTCTGAGCGCATCAGGCGCAACGACTTGAAGTGTTTATATTCCATGCCGACAACTTTATCCACACCCCAAGTGCACAGAGAGAAATAAATGGAATTGGAGCACTTAAAGGATTTTTATTCAACGTTGGGAATTGGGTGTTTGCCAAAAATAATTCAAATTTAATCGTTTAATTTAGAGTTCAAATATTTTATATGGTTTGATTTACAAATAAAATCATTTCAATCAATTTTTAAATTTTCAGGGATTTAGCTTAAACTATTTTAATGTTATTAAATAAAATATTTTAACAAGAAAAAATTCAGAATTAAATTCAGAATTAATTGCACTAATTTTAAAAAAATTCTTTAATATTTTTTAAGCAAACTAAAATAATGATAAAGAAAAAATTTTCCCTAAGGACTTGTTTATTTTTTCCAGTGTACCAATAACAGCAACAGTAGCAACATCTCTGCCAGAAGCAACATCAAGAACCGCAGGAGCAGGAGCGCAGCACACAGTTGCCTTGTTTATGGTAATTACTTCACAAATCCTGCAACTTTTTAATTAACTTAATTTGCTTAAAATGCAACAACTTTCTATATATATGTACTATATATATGTGTGTGTAGGAGTGTAGCTGTAGAACGCAACAAAATTTTGCACAAAAATGAAACTGCATTTTATGTGGCCTAAATGTTTCTGCTGTTGGCTGTTGGTCATCAAATCAAGTGATTGCCCGGCACACGAGACTCGGCACCTAAGACTCGGCAGGACATGTGGTTAACGCTATTTTTCCATGTCATGTCACCCGGCTGACAACTCTCCGTGTTTGGATGCGGTTGGTGGGTGGTTGGGTGGTTGGTGGCCACGAACAGCCTTCAAATGCACACGGCTGGAACGCACATTGTCAAAATTCGTCACTTGGCCAACACTCCAGCCTCCTCCTCCATCCTCCCACCTTTCGCACCCAACACGTGGCCTAATGAGCTGTCAGCAACCATGGGCTGCTACCAACTTGGCAAAGCAACCACAAGATTTTGCAGACACTTCTGGCCAACACGCAGACAACTGAGCATTTTCCATACATGTGTGCTGTGGTCCATTGTGTGTGTCTTAACATGTCTTGATTGCCAAAAACGAAGACTGGTACCAAAATATTGCCAGTTGCAACTGCAACACAATCAGAAACCCACATCGAAATAAGGCCCTCGGGCTTTTCTGTTTATGGACTGCTAACTAATTTGGTTTAATGGATTTTCTGGCATCGATATGGCTATCAAGTCTGTGGCTCCTTTGAGCCGCTTGCCATAATAATGGCAGGGATTTTCTATTTATGTGGCCCAAACACTAGTCTACATGACCAATACAAATCGCTTTTACCCTTTTGCACGATTAATGTCACATGAGCAAAGGCAATTTTCATTCGAAAAATGTCCTTTTCAAAGGTGAAACCAAAATGTTATTAAAATCTGCTGAACTGAACTGAACTAATGAACTTTGGTTTTCGAATTGGTTTCGGTTTCTTCGGTTCGAAATCCATACTGACACCCAAAAAATAACTTGATTTGAAAGCCTGTTCGAGTTTCAATTGTGGGTTTCTCCCTCACTATTTCGCTCTATTTTGAGTTCAGATAATTAGTTATTCTCGCTAATTCAAGTGTTTATTCGAAGTCAGAGAATCTCCAAAAGAAAAAGAAATCGGTATATCATGGTAAAAACGATATGCGTTCTTAAAACCAGAAATTTACCATGCGCATATCGTTTTCATCCCAGCTTGTTTTTCTTTTGTGTGGACTCATCATTAAACCACTAAATGCCCGCCGTTTAAGCTAAGCCCTTTGGCACATTGTTTGTTTGATTGACCGCGACTAATTAATAAATTGTGGCAGTTCGACAATGTTTAACTTGGCTGGCAAAAAAAAAAGCAATATGATGCCCGCATAGTTGACTTCTCACACACACAGCCGAGCATTTTGTTGATTAAATTATAATAAGCGATGGCAGCTCTTCGGGGCTCTTAACCCCCTTCTTTGCCGAATTAACCCAAAACCCACCCATATAAGTCAACAATTACAATTATGCTTTGATGACCGTATGACCAGCACACATTAATTTATAATTTGTTCAAATTATAATTGCCGGCCATAACTGCAACAACGCACGCCAGTGGCATTTGGGGCATTAACACTAACACCCCGGGGACATGACTAAGCCCCTGACACAGCATACGAAACAAGGCAGCCCGAAGAGGGGCCCACACGAATTTAACCTCTTCAATTGACCAGGGCGCTGGGTGGGTTGAGGATGGGGGATTGCTGGATTGTTTGTCTGTTGACCTTCATGACGTCGTCGTCGTCGTCAGCAGCAGCAGCAGACAAACATACGTTTGCACACACCCATCTGCGATTGCACTCAAGGGTTGCACTCTCGTTCGCCTGTCACTCACTTTTCATCGGGGATTTTCCCAGCTGCCCGCATACCCTGGAACGAAATCTATGGGAACATTTTCCAATGTAAAGAGGTTCTTTCACTAATTAGAGTTAAGTACCATATCAAATTTATGGCTAAAAACTTTAATGAAAATTCATTTCGAAAATGCATTAGAGAAAATATTTGGTTTTAGCCTATTTATATTTTCTAAAAATAATGGAAGTTATAGATATCAAATTTGATATAAATTTACCAAAATATTGTATATTTATACATTTTATTAGTACATCTTAAAAAGACCTATGAAAACTATCGTAATGTAAAAACTTACAAAAGTTTAATTTTTACATTTTGAAAATGTTTAATTTAGGCTTTAAGTTTATGACTGATAAGCCTTGAAGATTTATTTTTATAAATGTCGATGTGTACATTTGAATTTAACAAAGTTTGTTTTTTTTTTTTTTAAATAGAAACATTTTTTTTAATTTTTTGTATGTATTTATATTAAGTTATGTATTTATTTATTTATATATTTACCAGAGACCCATGACCAGGTATCACTCAGCTGAAAGCCTGCGTGACCGTTTAATTAACCGAATATGACGCATTCGATCTAAATTGAATTATTGACTCGGTTTTTATGAATGAATCGCTCGTAAATGATTCAGCCGGCGGCCAGAATACGAGCGTGAGTGTCGCAAAAATACTGCTCGAATATGTATCTTGGGCTCATTCAATAAATGATTATTTATGGGGGCCAACGGAGGCGGCTTCTGCCAGTGAATTCCGGTTAAAAGTTGCTCAGTGGCAAGCCGAGCTCATTAATTTTTTTGGAAGAAACCCCCCTCCCTGCAATTTTGACGCCAAAGGTGGAGTTCAAATGGCAACCGGGTTGAAGAAGATTTCTCAATTGTCGCTGTGGCGCCCAGAGGGTATGACAATTTAATTAATTAACGGCACAGAACTCACTTTTCAACATGTGGTGGTGGTGGAGGAAGTAAGGAAGAAAACCTAGGAGACACATATTGACTTGGCCCCTTGGCCCCTGCTTATTATTCGGTAACCGAAAAAGCCGCAAACTGGATGTGAGGCAGCCACTTCTGTTGCTTCTCGAGTGGTGACCTCCCATCCCCCTC